TATATATATATATATATATATATATATATATATATATATACTAGTACATTCAATTAATTCTCTTTTTTACTTTAAAAGGTTTTGTCATGGCCTGTCCGAATGAGTGTGATATTTAACATTACCTTGTTAACTGAACTTCTGATCTATTAGGTTCAGAGTTAATGTGGGAGATTTCAATCTTGACTTTTACTCTGAAAAGTCATGATTCTTGATCAGTAGAACTTTAAGAACCTTTGGAATGTCTAGAAAGGCCTGACCTCTTATAAGAGAATATAAGATCTAAGATTTATTTTTGACATAGGAGATTAAGCCATGGCACCATGAGATGTATCCACCACTGAGTTGGAGAAGAGCCAAGAAGCTACATCCAAACCCATGGTCATTAAAAATGGGCCAGCTGCCACATTACCTCAACATCAGAAATTGTTGCAGCACCTTTAAGGGTTCCTTTTTCAACATCCACCAAACAAATGAATTTGCTATCTAGCTTTAAGCAGCCAGGAAAGAATAATAATTAGACTCACTTCTCTGCCCATTTGAAGACTGCATTTGAGAAAGGTGATAACTCATCTGAGGCCATTCGTTTCATTCCAAACCCAAAGGTTTCCTCATCTCTTAAAAAGGATGGGAAAAAGAAGAAGGAAATGATTCTTAAGGCCAAAACTTATGCATCATATTGCCAAAAGTTTGCATCCATACAAATTAATGTTATCAATGAATATTTTATTTTAAAATGATTTAACTCTGGCTTCACACTAAACATATTTCATAGGCAGCAACATCTAAAAAGAATATAAAATAATGTGATTGACAAACAACTTACACAGTCACAGAGCCTTCGTGATACTAGGACTCAGTTTAAAAATTTATAAAACAGGAAACCTGAGTTACAATCCAGGCTCACATTTTACTTAACTTCTATAGTTAGCTGCAATATTTACTAGGAATATCAAATGATAAGCACTTAAAGAACCTTCATAATATTAATATTTCCTTAATCAAATAGTGAAAAACTGAAAAAAATACAATGATGCAATGTAGAAAACTTTGTCACAGGCTTTTACTCATCTCAGTCACCATGTTCACAGCTTCTTTCATATCAGCAACACTGGATTTTCCAATATCTCATTCCTTATTTCTTTGTCAAACCATATTTAACTTGTGATTGAGCAAACTCCTGTGTTTATAATGATGTGTGATTTAGTTATTTCAAAAGGAGAAAGATAAATAAAAAAATGATGAAATAGATCTAGAAAAGAATGACAGGATATTGGACATAATGAATCACTTTTCAAAATGAACTAATCTACCCTGAGCCTCTATGCCCTAAGCATAATCATGAGCCTCAAATTTAGACATTTTTTTTTGCATTTGTTAAGTTTCACCTCCCAATCAGACCAAAATATGACCCACACTCTCAGCTTAGAGCTGCGAATTATATATACAAATTATATTTCACTTTATTTGGACTAATGATTGTCTTATTTAATTTTTAAGTGTCATCATTTTTTCATTATAGCCAGGGGTCTCAAAAAATAGAAGTGGCCTGGATCTCTCTGAACCTCTGAGAGGGCCTGTGTATATGATAATTAATTACCCAATACATCACATGATCCAGTGACAATTGACATCACTTTTGTACTGCCTACCCATAATGAATCGTCTATAGGCAGCAGTAGTGTTATGTTCTAGCTGTATGCTTTATGACAGAACACCGATTCTTCCTGACAGGAAAATTTCCTCTTGGCCAGGGAGCAGCTGTTGACCAAAACCAATTTTTTGACATTCATATTTGTTGTCCCCACGAACCTACCACCCTGTGCAAATGCATGTGCTGCACACCTAATCTTGCCAGCCCTCAGTGTAACTGTTAAGAACTGCTAGATTGTACCTTTCTAGAATTAGGAAAGGAAAATGTGTTATATTTTTAAAAATTTTATTGTAAGTATTCTGCAGTTAGTTAACATCTTTAAAAACAGGATGTAGATATTTGTAAACTTGCAGTAATCATCACTCCAGGTTAGACTTAGGCTACATTTTACAGTGACCTTTCCATTGAGCTTATATTATTCCTTCTCCTGGGATATTGATCGTACTCAAGTGGAGAGATGTATAGAGATTTTGTGTAAGAAATAAGGATTCGTTTATTTGTTTAACCATGATGGTTAGTCTGTCCTTTGTTAACTTTTTAATTTCATAATGCATCTCTTCTGGTTCTGCTGTTTTTACAAACTTCAGTAATTACCTATAGGTTTCAGTCTTGCTTGGGAATATCACAGATGGAATGGATTAACTCTTTTAAATACTCAAAAAATACTAAAAAATTTTTCAGGTTCGTAAACTTTCATCTGTTTATTAAAAATCTGCTAAAGAAACCAATAATAGTCTGTTCGATACCATTTGCATGCTTTTTTTTATATATATAAATGATAGTGAATGAAATAAAAATGTGAGTAAATTGATTAAACTAATAATTTATTATTAAATGTGAAAGTTCTGTTATTTGTAAAATGTTTGATATTTGGATAATTACCAGCTGTCATTTACCTATATCTTGGTTCATCTAATTCATTGTTTATATGCTTGTGAATGCTGTTAAACCTATTATTTTAAGCATTCTAATAATATGCTTCCAAACTGATACTGTTTGAATTTGTTATAAAACCACAAAAGTTGTGGTTACATATATTAAAGCATGATGTTTGACATAGAAGAAATAATCAAGCACAGTGCTATTGAGGTTTTTTTTAAATTTTCTATATTTTGATACCTGTTTATTATATGCAATAATGAAAAAGGAGTTTAGGTAAGATTTGCATGATTTTCATATTTTTATGTATATTTTTGACTTGGTTGTAAGTTTGTGCTTACAAATAATTATTTTTACAAATGTGATCAGGTAAGTATACAAAAAAAATAGTAGAAATTTGGTTTTAATGGACTGTGCATTCTTGTTTCTAGAGTTGGATGTCATTTCAGCTTCTACACTAAGGCCTTAAAGTCGAAGAAGGTCTCACATACAGTAAGGAAGCTGAAATGTCATCCCACTCTAGAAACAGGCAGGAGCAGTCTATTAAAGCTAAAACACTATTATGTCTACCCTGCTTAAGATACCCTGGAAACAACAACAACGATTCCCATTAGGGTAGGTAGATTAAAACTTTAAAGAAAATGTTTTTAAACTACAATTTCTGTTGCAGACTGGTGTTTCATTGGTCACAATTTTAATACTGTATAATAGAAAAATACACTGATATTGTATACTTTTGGTTCATTTACAGTATTTGAACCTGAAGGAGGAAATGAAGAAGAATACAAAAAAATTCACCAGGAGTACAAGAATCTGGTAAAATTACACATAAGAATAATCATTTCTAAGTTTGTGTGAATTGATAGAATTATGTAATTTCTAACATTTAACTTTAATTTTGCTGCAAGTTTTTGGAAGCCATGTTGTTACAGGTAAAATATACTAACATTATACATCAACTTCCTGTAGGAGGTATTACACAATAAACTGAAAACATGCAGTAAAATTAAAACTGCAATATAAGTGCCCCAATAATATAATTTTATATTACCAATTTGCAACAAGAGTTTAAAACATTTGTATTAATTTAATTGTCACAAATATTTCCCATTATGTGGAATAATGTGAATTGTGTCCATTAAAACCTTTTTGCTGTAGATCTGACAATATGCCTTAGTTATATTTATAATCATTCTTATTTAAACTAAACATGTGTCTGTTATACTAACAAATAGTTCCCATCTTAATTTAATGATCTGATAGGTGTTTCGTAAATTCTTCACACTTTTTGTAATTTCAAGTACATAATAGCTATGTATCAAAATATTTTATGCTGTGTAAATAGTGACAGCTGTGTTTAAACATGGGGCTGATGTAGCCATAAATTCACAATTATGTTTATAAATTTTTCACACCATGTTTATATATTTGGTATTCTTAGGTTAAACTGATTTCCCTGAAAATTACTTGGTAGCTCCACTTTATAATGGGAGGATTGGCAGGATAAATCATGAAGTAATGCCAAATTTAAATACATTTAACAAATAAATAGACTGGACACACTGTTTAATGCAAAATGAAAACAGTCTTTATTTGTTAACAAATACAAAAATATAGTGTATGTACTTGCATTTTACACTGGACAGTTCTTTTTTGCTAGACTCATGAATTGATTAACTGGTTTTCTTCCCTCAATATTTCATTCCATCAACCATCTCACTTGAAATCCCATGTATTACTGTTTAAATCTAACATTTATTGCTTAATGAGGAAATGCCACAATGTGCAATATTACCCATAGGCAGAACAGTTATTATGTCCATAGAATAAAAAACAACAACCAAGGCAGTCAGAAACAAATAAACTTCACAGTTTTCAGAATAATGTGTTATGCAAAAACTGCATAGATACAGAATAAACAAAAACATTTTGAAAAATTCTACATTAAAATGAAAAAGGTAAGAAATTCAGGCTTATCCTCAAGCCAACAATGAAATCTATATTTATAACCACTTACCTTTACACTAATGACATGGCCAAGAAGTATGTTGACATTCTCTTGCCCATGTAACTTAAAGATGACATAAGCTTGTCAAAATGTTGTACATTTGTAATAAAGTTTCTTTCACTACTAATTCAAATCATCTACAGACTTTATACACATAAAATGCTTTTTAAGTTAGAAAATATACAAAATTTAAAGTACTCATCCTGAGTAACCATGAGGCTCCACTTTCTATCACCTACCCCACCCAAAAATTCTCCAGTGCAGCCATTGTTTTACAGTTGGCCTACTGTCCCAGAGTGACAGCATTTATTTACTAATTTTCCTCTCAAAAATTTATAGCATGATGAATTGTTTATATTAACAGTGTTAGGTAAATGTACCCTTAAATGGCAACATTATATGGTGAACAACCTCAACTTTTTTTTTGTCACTATAAACAGTTATGACTTGACAAGTGTCTTGATAATTCCAAGCAATCCATTGCAGAAAGTATGTTGTTATTCATCTAATATCTTGTTTTAAACATCATGTACCTAAATTTTCAAAATATCTAAACACTTGTCACCCAACTACATACTACAATGATATTTCAGTGAAAGAATATTTTTGACTGGCTCTTTGTTTTTGTCCTGTCCTTCTGGAGTGTGAAGCTGTACTTATTTCAAGAGATGATATCAAGAGCAATTAAAGTTAATATGAGCTGAGAAGTGTATCTCTATCAGAGGTACACAGTGGGAATGAACATTGGTGTAAGGAGCGTGTATTGGCACTGCAGTAGAGCTCTGGATTTCAGAGCTTGCAAGAAGCCAAATTTAAATCTGTGCAATACCACAATATCTTCCCTGCACTTTATGTTGTGGGAGTGTTATAAGAGTGATATCCAATCCATTAACATAGACAGTGTGTGTGGTAGGGTGCTGCTAACTGGCTGCCTTCCCTTTGGCCAGTAGCTCAAAATAAGGGGTGGCAACAGATAGCTTTAGTAGATTTGCCACAAATACAAAAACAAATTCAGTGATATAGGTATTCTGGGACTGTGTGATACAGCAAAAGGATATGCTTGACTTTTTAAAATGTCATACCATTATTGTTCTTGTTCCTGTCTTCATATCATGTATATTTGCTTTCTTCAGCTTCAGTAACCAGAGCAAATGAGCATAAAGATATCCACAGAACTTAAATTCTAGAAATATTATGCAGAGAATAAATTAAAAAAGACAGCAAAAGCAAGAAACAAGGTGAACAAATAAACAAGAATTTATTTGCAGGAATTGTGTAAGTTCTCACACTTAACTGGTCAATGTACAGTTTTCTGTTGTAAATTTAACTGGCTGCTGGGTTTTAAGAAGAATCTTTCTTTAAAGTGTCTGCACTGGACAAAACCAAAAATAATTCTGACTTACCACTGTAATTCAAACAAAATGTTAAAAGTTTGGCATAATCTAATGTTGAATATGTAACAGACTATTTCAAATAACATATACATTGAAGAAAAACTTAACTTGTTCCAAATTGTACAAGTATCTCGAGATATTAACAGTGTCATTCTCACTGTAAACCTGATGAAGGGCTGTTGGCAGAAATGTTGTTTCTGTGTTTTACCAAAAAAATTATTTTAATTTGGCAAGTTTTTCACCATTACTTTATTTTCTGTTTTGCATTTTGTAATTTCCTTACCCATGCAATTATTTTATTTAAAGAAATGATATACACAAATTTTGCCAAATGAATGAAAAAAATTCATGCAAAGGACCAAATACAACCCCACCTCATAAACACTAGGGATTTCCTTCAGAACTGGCCAAGGTTTCTCATCTAACTTTACTCAATTAAACCACTTAATTTGTGTTTTTTAGACCATGTACAGTATGATTATCTTGTTATATTTTAAATTGAAATACATACATACATACATTATCTTAAATATTTTAACATTTTATGTTTCTTTACCTACTTGTAAATGTTTACAGTTATATATTGATTCCAATGTAGCTTATGTGTGTTATCTTGAGTTATTTGCATTTCTGTAGAAATATACTTAAGATGGATCAAGATCATTTCAAGTCACTCACTAAGGATGTTATTTGGTATTTCTGTGATCTTGCTCTTCAACATTAAATTAATATATATGCTTCAGGATTTTGTTGACAGTAAGGTTATTACAGACTACACTCAAATATAAGGTTCTCTTTGTGGTTAAATGTAAATTGACTGGTATGTTTCTAAGGTTGACTATATGCTTGGAAGTCACATGGAAGATATGAAAATTACTCCTGAGCAATTTGAAAAGGCATGTGGAAGTGTGGGTAATAACAATGTTCAAGGTCAGTTTCATCAGGTAAGACTAAAATATGAAAGCAAATTTATTAATCAGAACAGTGAACTTTGTTTTACATACTAGTTTAATGAAGTTTGTATGTTGTAGAAATATCTTTGTTATTAAAACCACCCTTAATTTCTAAACTTGTATAACTTCCAACCTCCACACATATAAAATTATTACAAAATGAAAAGAACTATGAAACTCTTAATTAACAATCTCAAAAATAACAAATAAATTTCTACAATTATATCAGGTTTAAAGGGTGAATGTTGTGTATTTGACAAATGTAGAAATTAAAGGTGGTTTTTAAAAACAACATAATTTTTACTATGATGCTAATTTTAAGATCTTTAATGGTTCTTAGGTGTGACTATTCTACCCACAACCGACTGTGGATGGTGAGTGGTAGTAGCTTTTGGGATGTCATAGGTTAAAGCACCCAATACCTAACCTCTACTTGATCTTACTTGCCAGCATATAGTTCTTCAACTGTATTTTTTTATTTATGTCTGGTAGATGGGACATCCCAAATGCTTTTGGGAGCTATTACTGCAAACATTTTCCTTTCTTGATAAATGGTATAATTCTTTTTTTGTTTAGTGTATATTAATTGCTAATGTGATAATGGATTAATTTTATTTGGATTTTTTTTAATGTAATTTGTAGTATTAGACCTGTTTTATTGAAAAGAAGAATGCAAAGATTACTCCACTTAATGATAACAAAAGTGTTTTAGTTCTTTAACTACAACTGCTACAAGTTCCATGGTTTTACATAACTTTCCATGGTTTTACATAACTAATGGTAAGCCTAACTTCACAAATACAGATAAATATATTCTAAACAGAAGTTCCACTTACTTAATAATTTTGTACCTCTTGTACTCTACTTTTAAACACAAACTTAGACTTACAGCAGTGAACTGACCAGTTGGCTCACAGCAACAGATAAATTGAGCACAGAATACTTGTTAACTGATTAACAGACTCACTTTATCACTATCTCTCATATATATATATGGCTCTTATTGTTCTAAAACTTTGGAGAATATTTCAGACATTAAAATATATGCTCATGAGATGACATGAAATTTTTCTTTGGCCAAATAACTATACAAAAGCCTAAATCAGAAAAATGGTTTACAGCAGTATTAAAAGGAATTTAGCATAAAAAGTTATCAGTTTACTGCTTTTTCTTCTGCCAAGACATTCCTGAGTTTGCATATGTGCTTTTTTAAATGTTTAGATTCTTATAAATAGTTTTTCCCTGGTATAAGCCACTCTGTTTGAGTTTAGCTGCTGCATGAGATTTTAGAAGTTGTAAAACTGAAACATTTAGTTTGAATGTTTAACTCAATGACATTTTTATTTATGTGTGTTTATTTAGATAATGTTTTTTAATGAATAGAAGTAGAAAGGAAAACAATATGAACATTTAATTTCTTCCTCAGAAATTGGCAGTACATATTACTAATAATTCTGCCACCTGTTATTAATGGTAAATAGAATATATTCTTCCAGTTCATACTGTGAATTATATACAAAACATTTATGTTGAGTAGTTTTTTTGTATAAGTAATTTATGTGAAGCAACACGTGGAAAAATTGTAAACATTTGATGCTATCATATCTTTTATTAGCCGCAGCATAGCAGCTCATAAAATGGCTCATAGTTCCATTATCTCTTGATTGTTTGACATCTAATTACAGTTTTAAACTTGGGAGGTCAAACACTTTCAATTGATATAGTTGACCACACCCAAAGTCTCATAGATTAATTCACCATAATCCTGCCCAAAAGAATTTCCATTTGAGGGTAGGCTAGTAGAGATCTTGATGAGTAATAAAATCAAAGCAAGTATATGTGCGCCCCATGTTTGCTATTGTTGGCACATAAAAATATAGCTAATAAAAAGGGAAAAAAGGTCTCGTAGATTAATTTACTCTAATCCTGTCTAAAAAAATTTCAAGTGCCACAGCTATTGAAGATTCCCTCTTGTATATAATATCATTACTTTGCATTATGTTAATTGTGCTACAGCTATTGAGGATTCCCTCTTGTGTATAATATCATTACTTTGCATTATGTTAATTGTGCCACAGCTATTGAGGATTCCCTCTTGTATATAATATCATTACTTTGCATTATGTTAATTGTGCTACAGCTATTGAGGATTCCCTCTTGTATATAATATTGTTGCGTCAGCGAGGTCACGTGATTAGTATCATGCCACCTCCTTCTAGAAATATCCTGTTCCTTCATGAATGTTCTAGG